CAAGGTGACCACAACCTATTTAGCTTGTCAAGACTTTATTTTTAACAGGGCTACTTCCATCCATAAAAAGGGTATATTCAGTATCTATCAGAGGGTCCACTTTTAGAACAATTCATCCCAGTACAGCATGTGGCACCTGGACAGTTAGTTCTCAGTCTAAGGTGAGCTTATCAGCTTTCTTTTTTTTAATCAGCTTTTTTGATCAGAAGGACACTGGCTGTTAAGAGTATGGAGGCAAAGGGGTGGGGAGGCAGCCCTTAGCAACCAGATTTAAGTATTTGCACCTGTAGGCCAGGGATTGACAGTCTGAGTAAACGTCATTGTTTTTGTGAACTCAAGGATCCAGAATCTAGAGAAGCCAGCAGCTCCAAGAAATTTGTAGAGTTTTTTTCTTGTAATCAGTTTCTGCCAGAGATATCTCTCTCTCTCTCTCTCTCTCTCTCTCTCTCTCTCTCTCTCTATATATATATATATATATATATATATATACACACACACATTTTGTTTGCTTGTTTTTGAGACGGGGTCTTGCTATATAGTTCAGGCCATCCCTGAACTCACTGTGTAGCCTAGGCTGGCCTTGAACTTGCAGCAATCCTCCTGCATCAGCCTCCAGAGTGCTGGTATTACAGGCATGCACCACCATGCCCACCTCTGTCAGATATTGTAACACAGCTTTTGTGTCTTTCCAGCACACAGCTTGAGTGTCATTAATCAGAAGTGCTTTTTCAAAGAGGAAACAAGTTTTTGCATCTCTGGGAGGTTGAGTCCAGGTCAGTTGGCTTTTGAGTCCAGAACTGGGGTCTTTCCATTTAAGGTGAAGAGGGGCTGGCTGATTGAGGGCAGAAGGCATCTTTTTTAGGTCCAGGCGGGTGTACCAGCAGGCTGTGGGTGGCAGAAGACTGAGGCAATATATACAGAGGGGAATCAGGGCGGCATTGGCAGCTGGGAGATCTTGAACTGGCATTACAGGCAGGAGAGGTGTATTTCAGCAGTTTGACAGTCTATTATTTTTTCTCAGGGGACCATGACAGCAAGCAGGAGGTATGGAGAAACAGACTATCTCAGAGTAAAGGTTCTGGTGGCTTGACCAAATCTGTTGTTAGAGCCTCCCTGAAAATAGTGGGAGAGTTTTTAACCTCTTGTGGCAGTTGAGTCCAAGTGAGTTACATCTTACCTCAGGATTTTCCCAGTTGAAGGGGCTTATTGGAGCAACTCACAAGCAGAGGAAGGCATCTTTTAAATCTAGACGTGTGAACCAGGTCGCATACTGGCCAATGGTCTTTGTTGGGCTTTCTCATCAAGTGGAGAGGAGTGTTCCAAGGCAACTGACGGTCTGTCAGGATCCCAAACTGTTTCAAGTGCACCAAAGGGGCATGATTGATAGCAAGTTTGGGGTATGAGTCTTTTGTCCATACTTCTGGAAACCAGTCTCTCAAAATTTCAGGATCATGATTATCAGGCATTTCAGGCTGATGTAGCTGCCATTCTTCTTCCTACAGTACAGTCAGAGTCAATATCAAGTCCAGGACAGTGGACCCCAAGTATAAGGGAGGCTGGCTGGTTTGGAGCAAATGAGATAGTTGCTCCCAACTTGGAAAGGAGGTCATGCCCCTGGAGAGGTATAGAGCACTCAGACTTGTACAGAAATTCATGTTTGATAAAGTGACCATCAATCTCGCAAGATCTGCTTTGGCAGAATTTCTTTTCAGTGGGGGCTCCACTGGTGCCAATAACTTGGAGCAACAGGCTGAGTTACAACTGAATGTTTAGCCCCATTGTCCACCATAAAAGTCATGGATTTTTCCCTGATTCTGGCAATGACCAGAATGGGCTCCTGGGGGCCAAGTCTAATAGAGTCCAGGCTATTTAGGGGTGGGGCTCTGCGATCTGCCTCACTTTTTTTTTTTTTAATCTTTCTTTCTTGCTTTACAAAGACCTTTTGAGCAGTCTGAAGTAATTGGGTAGCATTTATGCCAGCAAAGCTGCCAACCTTTTGGATTTTTTTTCTAATGTCAGAGGCTGACTGTGTAACAAAGGCAGCACTGAGAACGGTGTGGTACTGATCTAAGGCCTTATGGCCTTTTGCCGTATTATAGTCTCAATTTGGACACACTCGGGGGAGGAGTGTGTTCATCCAAGCATCAGGGTCAACTACAGCGGCAGGGACTTTTGATTTTAACCAGGCTTGGGCCCATCTAAAATGTAGTTGCGTTCTTCAGTATTAAACAGAGTCAGAAGAAGTTGCTGACAGTTGTCCCATGTTGGCAGGTGGGTCTAGAAGATTGGGTGTAAGGTCTGTCATTGCCTGGGGCTTCTCCAAATAGGATGAGTTGTGATGTTTCCAATTTAAGAAGTCAGTGGAGCTGAAGGGCTGGTAATACATCATGGGTGGTTGGTTGGGTGCACCTCCCTGAGCTCCAGGGTAAACACGAAACAGCAGCTGGAGGTAAGCTGGAGCCTCGAATTGAGTAGCAGAACGGAGATGGTGAAGCTGTGGAAAATGGGAGAGCAGCTTCCGGTCGATGAGTGTAATGAGGAGGTAGGTCAGACTCTGGGTCCTCTGGCAGAAAGCTTTTCTGGCTTAGGCTGAAGCTAAGAGCCTCTTAGATGACCTTGCGGGTTTGTTTTGATGACTAGGATGGCTTTCTTCTTATGTAGGACACAGGTGTGGAACCAAGGAGAAGGCTCTGATGCAGGTTGAGCCGTGAGTCAATATAAGGAAGCTGGTCAGGATGGCTTCGTTGTCGCTCTGTCTCTTTGTTTCAAACTTGAACAACTGCAATGGCATATGTGCATCCACCATGTTGTAAAACTACTTCAAAACATTTCTATCCCCCAAAGTAGACCCCTTTCCTCACTGAACAGTTTCTTCCTAGTTTCTTGTCCCCTCATCCCCTGGCAACCACCAATCTACATTCTTTTTCCATGGATTTACTTCTTTTGGGCATTTTATATAAGTGAATTGCATAATGTGTGCTCTTTCTTGTCTGACCTTTTTCTTTTAGCCTACTATTTGCAGGGTTCTTCCATGCTGTGATGTTTTCTTCCTCTTTATGACTGAACAATACTCCACTGTGTGTTTATACCACAGTTTGTTTGTCCATTCATCTGTTGATAAGACATTTCGACTGTTTCTAACTTTTTGGCTATTGTGAATAGTGCTGTTATGAATGTGTGTACAGTACTTGTTTGAGTTCCTGTTTTTACTTCTTTAGGTATAGACATTGAGCCTCTATAAAGATGTACAGAACTGTACAAAAAAGAAACACAGGTCACAAGTCCGAACAGCGTGCCTCGGTTTTAAGTCTGAACAGCTGTCAAATAGGTCATTAAACGAGGAGTATCTGTATATGGTATACCATATACATAAGAATGGAATTGGTGGGTCTCTCTGTTAACTTTTTCTTTTTTTGTAGTACTGGGGATTGAACCCAGCCCTTCACACTGACCTACAAGCCCAGCCCTTTTTTTATTTTTTATTTTGAGTCAGAATCTTGTCAAATTGCCAGGTGGGACTCAAATTTGTGATCTTCCTGCCTTAATCTGCCAGAGTGCTGGGATTGCAGGTGTGTACCACCATGCCTGGCTTATGTTAAACTTTTTGGTAAATTGCCGATCTGTTTTCCAAAGCGAGTACACTATTTTCTTTCTTTTTTTAAAAGCTCACTCTTAGTATATTTAGTATATGTGCAGCTGAAGCGAGCACGTCTTGGTGTATTTATTAATTAATTTATTTGCTTTTATTTCTGTCAGTGATTAAAGCCAGGTTCTCACATTTGCTCTGTCCCTGAACTACACCACTAACCCCAACTCCCATTTTGTTTTGTGTCTTCTAAAAAAATTTTTAAATGGCCAGGCATGATGGCACATACTTGTAATTCCAGCACTCAGGAGGTCAACCTGGACTGTACAGTGAGACCTTGTCTCAAAAAAACAAATTCATGTTTGCAGTGTACAATGATTGTGTTTATTATGGGGAGATGGTACATGTATGTAACATGTCTTAGTTCTTTCTGTTTCCCCTTGCCTTCCTCTCCTCCTCTCCTCCATTTTACTTTCTTACAAGAAGTGTGCAAAGTTTACAATTTCTCTACATCCTCGCTAACACTATTTTCTGGTTTTTAAATAGACATTATAGTGTGAGGAGGTTTTTTTCATTTTGGTTTGATTTGCATTTCTTTCTGTAATTAATAATGATGCTGAAATCATTCATGTGTTCGTTGACCATTTTTTTATATCTTTGATGAATTGCACATTAAGTCCTTTGCTCATTTAAAGTGGTTGTGTTTTCCTTATTTATATTCTCTGGATATTAGAAGGCTCCTGTCTTTGAATATGAGGTCTCCCTGCTTGGCTTTGTTCACCCATGTGTGATAGATAGATAGATAGACAGATAGATAGATAGATAGATAGATAGATAGATAGATAGATAGAGATTTTTTTTAAACCTAAAGTAGATGCTGCTGCATAGGAATATAACTGGAGGAGCACAGCCACTTGTAATTCCATCTCTGCAGTAAGACAAGTATGAATTAGTGCTGTTTCTGCTCTGTAGCTTTTCAAAAAGTCATAGCCTGTGGTCCGTCTGTCCCGTGTCTGTGTGTTGACACCCCGACACCCCGCGCCGTTTTTTGAGACAAAGTCTTGCTATGTAGTGCAGGCTGGCCTTGAACTCACTGTGTGGTACAGTTCTCCTGCCTCAGCCCCCTGAGTGCTGGAATTACAGGCGTGCTCCACCACATCTGGCTGTAACCCTTTTTCGCCATCAGGAAGCTTTGCTGTGTCCAGAGTAGGTGTGAGGACAATCACTCATGAAAGTACAAAACACCCACAAGCTGTAAAATGTTACACACCACACAGGTGGAAGATAGGTGCCTCTTTTAGATTTAAAAAAAATTTGTCTTATTTTGATTATGTGGATTTTTAAATTTTCAGTTTAATAGGCACCCAAGGGCTTAAATTTAAGGTAAGGGGATAACGGCATGTTTGCTTTTCAGAGTCATCCTTTTTGAACTTCCACGAGTCAGACTGTGAACCCAAAGGATCGCCACCCTGTGACTCCTTGCTTTCTCTCAACACTGAGAAGATTCTGGTACGCTCTTCTCTTTGTGCTTCCTGTGTTTGTGACCTGAAGCATAGCAATACTAACTCCAAAGGGTGGGGTGAGGAGTCAGGTCCTGTTGCTTTTGTGTGCAGAGGGAAAGCTAGGCCATCTGGCAGTCATTACCGGGAATTATTTCATTTTATGAGTTGGGTGATTGATGGTTCTGGACCTGGGACTTTAAGCTATGAGGAATAAAGGGGAGATCATGACGCAGTCTCATGTCTGTGAGCCTTTGTCTTTGGAGGCATAGTATAATCTTATTTTTTAGTGTTAGCCTGTCTAGGTATCTTTTGTATCTCTATTTTTTATTATTACTAACTAAATTGTATAGGGGATCTCTTCACTTCAAGGACGCATGCCTGGCACCTGCCTGTCGGTGTTAGTGTGGCTGTCCATGGGCCTGCCTGTCCGCATTACCACATTTGTTCATTTCTCTACCTGTCCATGTTAACACCACCTGGCCACATTAGCACGTCCACATACCTCTGTGTCCATGTTAGCACCTCCTGTCCAGTACCTGCCCGTATTCTCATGTATGACCACTTATGCCTGTCTGTGTCAGCTGCCTGCCTGTGCACATTAGCAGGTTCATCCATGTCTACCACTGTCAGCACATCTGTCCACCTGTCCACTTTAGCACATCTGTCCATGTGTCTCCCTGCCTGTGCCAGTGCATCCATCTGTGTGTCTGCCTGTCCGTGTTAGTGTCCTTCATCCTGACCCCTCAAGAAGCAAGGGTCCTTCGTTCATACTTTACTCTGGAACGTTAAGCTGTTGACTGCCCAAGCTTAGCATATTTTTCACTAGAAGTTTTCCTTTGATATTTCTATAGATTTTGCTTCAAATTGCCCTTTAGGATACTCTTTCTTTTCCAAAAAAGTTTTGCTTTTTCACATTAGAACTATAGATTTGTCTAAAACCAGGCTAGTGGCTGGCATGGTGTCACACACCTATGATTCCAGCACTGGGGGGGCTGAGGTAGGAGGATTGTGAGTTCCATGCTAATCTGGGCAATACAGTGAGTTCAAGGCCAGCCTGAGCTACATAGCAAGAACCTGTCTCAAAATGAAACAAACTACCAACCATGCTGCGCCATCTTGTGAGCTAGTGAACTGGCCATCACTGAAACATTTGTAGAAGTTGAATGTTCCTAGTTAGATGTTATGAGGGTTCTTCTGCCTGATAGGAGGTCAAATATTACCTTCCATTAGTCCTTCCAGTGGCCTACAGAGAAGGCTCACCAGCCTCACATTGCCACATCTCACAGACAGCTTACTGGCTCCCACTGTGGAAGCTCCTGGCTGCATAGTAAAAAGCAGAGAGCACTGATAGGGATTTCTGCTGATCAGAATTTTCACAAAAGACATAAAATATGGAACAGTCCCACGGTAGTGGGGATTGCTAAATGTTTCATTTTGTGCAGACTCCTGGATGGGATGACCAAGGAGTGGGAGCATCTTGAGATGGGCACCCTCTGGCCTGTGTCTTTCAACTTGTAGTTTTTTTGGGGGGGGTTGTTTGTTTTTTCATACTGGGAATTGAACTCAGGCAGGTGCTGTGCCACTGAACTACATCCCCAACCTCTTAACTTGTAGTTTTAAGCACTGACTTGTGAGTGACCTTGCTTGCTTTTCTCCCCGTCTTTCCTTCCCTCCCTCCCTTCTTTCCTCCCTTCTTTCCTCCTTTCCTTACTTCCTTCTGTCCTTCTTTCCTTCCTTCCCTTCTCTCTTCCCCTCTCTCCTTCCTTCTGGCTTTCCTTCTCTCTTTCTTTCTCTCTTTCTTTCTTTCTTTCTTTCTTTCTTTCTTTCTTTCTGTCTGTCTGTCTCTGTCTCTCATCTCTCTGTCTCTGTCTCTGTCTCTGTTTCTCTCTCTGTCTCTCTGTCTCTGTCTCTGTCTCTTTCTCTGTGAATTGAACTTGGAATTGCTTATGCTAGGTAAACACTTTTATCATTAAGCTACATGTCCACCTCTTTTTATTTTGAGACAGAGTTTTGCTAAGTTGCCCAGGGTGGCCTTGAACTTTCAATCCTCCTGCCTCTGCCTTTAGAGTGCAAGGGTTATAGGTATGGGACACCATACCCCATGGTCACTTGTATTTGGATATAAGCTACCTTGTACTTGACCTGTTTATAGGCAAACCAAGTACCACTCTGTATCTGAACATTAATTTGGACTTGGAATGTATAAGGAGTATAAATGGAAATGCTTTGTAATTCTGTCATTTGAATCAGTAAACTGGTCACATTTATTATGGCTGAGGAGTACCAGTCATTGGCTAGATTGCCATGCATTGGTCAGAAGAGTACCCTATGTATAGTGACTTACCTATACAGATGCCAGTGGCCTCTGTAGTATGGAGTTAAGAAAAGAGGACTCTAACGGGGAAGTCACTGGGTTCTGATCCTCTGGATTTGCCCAAAGTGACAGACCTTTAGTTCTTTCTTGTCTTTTTCCTGTATATGCATATGTATGAGTTTTTGTTGCCTTTTCGGTGAATCTGCTATGGAGTTATAATTTTAATGAGCACCCTGTAGGCTAAATACATCATAACTTCCTGTTGACAAACTTACTGGTGAAATAGCGGGTATTTGTATTATCAAACCCGGTGTGTCTCCAAAACACATTAGAGATATCTCTTTGTCTGGTGGACAAATACTGCATGTAAAAGTATCCCAACTGTCAAACCAACTGTCTACTTTCCCCTAGTTTGTATTTTTGTTCAGCTCTCCAGCCAAATGTGTGTCTGTGTGTCTGCATGGTTTCTACAGTGACCATTCTGCTACATTAAACAGAATGACTGTTGTTCATCACTTGTTATGCATTGTTTGTTATTCAGAATGTCTTGGTTTTTTTTAGTCAGATTTTGTTAGTCTTTTATGTCACCCTCTGTGTCCAGCTTGTAGCTTTTGCTTCTGTAATGCTTTTAGGATTTAGAACATGTTCAAGCCACATTGGAGTACTGAATACTAGAATATGGTCTCTGTGATGTAATTGAAGTCATCATATCACCTGTACAAACATGGAGGAACCTTGAAGCAGCTGACAAGATTAATCCCTACAGAAGCACAGAGGCGCTTTCTCTCGAAAACAGAAGTGTGATAAGGGGAGGAAGCAAACCACTCACACCAGACTGTGCTCTTGAAATATGTAATTGGTAGGACTTAGAGCACTTACTTCTCTGCTTCCATTTAAATCAAATGTATCTTTAATTTTTTTAAATACAGATTTTTATTTCAGTTTTTCCTTCATTTGTTATAAGTTAAAAAAATGTTTGTTTGTTTTTCCCCCAGAGCCAGGCCAAGTCTATTGCAGAACAAAAGAGATTTCCGTTTGCCACTGATAATGACAGCACAAATGAAGAGTTAGGTAAGACCCGAGTCTGGGAATGCTTCTGGAATTTATGATTAGGTGCAGTGTAGGAAGGCAGGCAGGAGTCGGGGAGAGCTCTGAGACAGGGCTTGTCACTCTTGGCTGTCTAAGATTGCATGGGATATTCAGCTGTCCTGAGGTTCTATGGATCATGTCATTTTAAAAATAGATCAGTAGGGACTATTTAAGCCCAATGTTTCCATGGAAATTAATAAGTATGGTAATGAGCTCTTAAGCTGTTTCCATTCCTTAGAAGGTTACTTGTGCGCTGTCAGCAAATGTGCATAGTAAAGAAATGAAAGCTGGATAGAATCTCAGAGTAGCACTGTTCCAGTCTTCCCTCTGTGACAGACGGAATGGCCAGGTTTATGTTATTCCTACCTTTGGGTTGTGATCCTTGGATCTAAGCACATGGTACAAGAAAATCAAATTCATTCAAATATGCAAATGAGCCTCAGGGTCTGGTTTGTCCATAATGTGTTTGAAACAGGCTGCACCTGCTCAGATGTGCCCTGGATGTACCCTCTGTCACCAGCGGGCTTATCCTCAAGGCAGTGGGAGCAGAAGGAATCCAGGGTAGACAGTGTCACATGGGTCAGGCTGCACCAAGTGCTAGTGGGAACTTTTCATCATTTAATTTAAGCATAATTATAAATTTAAGCATAAAGATAGGTATCTTTATTGTGGGTATCCCTGTTTCAGGTTAAGACCAAGCCCTCTTGTATTTCCTTTGAATGCAGATAACAGTGCTATTTTGAAAGTGCTGATCACTTCTTGGTGACATTCTTTTAGGAGGTTTTAAGAATTAGTTTCCCTTTAGAGCCTCAGACTTGGTCTTTTGTGAAGTCTTTGGATTCTGTTCGGTCTCTATGCATTTATTAATAATTATCAAGAGCCTAATATGTACCATGCCCTTTCTCTTCTGAAGAGTATCCCAGCACACCCTAAAGGAGCAGCTGGTTTAGCATCTTTTCTGCAACTAATTTTTCTTGAAAGACATCTGTCAAGATTTTTGTTGCTGGATGTTACAGAGTTTTTGGTTGGTAGAGATTTCTGTAAGGATTGTAGCTATTCCAGTTTTTCCTTTATGCCTTCAGATTCCCATAACAAAATATAGACCCTAGTTATTGATATTTCTTTGATATTTGGATTAGGAGTTTTTAAAATTTAGGGGTTTTTTTCCCCTCAAAAAATGTTTAAGATTTCTGAACTACATTTCTTTTTTTTTTTCAGTGAAATTTAATGGCCAGGCTTTGGACAGAGATTTAGATATGTTCTTAAATCACAGAGTTTTTCCCCTAAAATTAAGAAAATATTCCACAGGCTTGTTAAGCAAGACCCAGAGAGTTAGGAGTAGGGACAGGTTCCTGTGATCACAAAGCTGGCTGGAATCCAAGTGTAGATTTCAAACACGAGTTTGATCTTAATTATCTTTTCAAAGAAACTAAGGTAAAAATAGCCTTCTTATTTTAAAGGATGCTTTCAGAAGCTTTTTGTTATTATAATGCTCAATTTTTTCAAATTTTATTTTCCTTGGGTTGTATGTAAAGATATTCCAAAACACTTTCAGCATTTAGTGTTTTTACTGTGTTTAGTATTTTTCTACTTTTAGCTCTTGGGAAATAGAAGCTTTTAAGGACAGTAGATGATATCATTGCCCACGTACTTCAATACCTATTAGGTCATAGATTCAGAGGGTTTTATAATAAAGCTGTTTTGTTTTCACAAAAACACGATCAAATTAGTTATTATGTTGAAAGCACTTTGAAGGTATCAATATGTAATACAACAAGCACTGTTAATTTCCTACCACTTTGTTTGTAACTCTGTATTATTTGTATTGTTCTTTTGCTGTTTTGTAAATGGTTGTCTGTCTGTTAATGTTTTCCTCCTTTTATTTTTAAAATAAAAAAAAAAAACAGAGTATTGCCATGATTCAGGGGATTGTCATGGCTCCCATTTCATGGTAGCAGTTTCTAAAACAATTAGGTAAAAATAGCTACCATCCTTACTGTAAATCTTGAATAGTGTTTTAACTGTATTTTGAATAGAAAAAATAGGAAAAAGACTATCATTACATCACAGGGTGCAAATTACCCACAGTTAAGCATCACATTAATATATATTAATTTGAACATGCCTTTGTTCTTGCTACATAATTGGCAGTGAACCAGCACTCCCAGGACTTGATTTGTGATGCTGTGTGGATGTTTCTTCTAGCGCTCACTTAATCACTACCCCATGTGGTATATGCCCAGCGCTGAGCACCTTTTCAGCTCCTTTGGTGTGTAGACAGGAGACATCACAGAGGTTGTATTGGATGTGAAAGTGAGTTATGGGCTCGACACAAGGTGATTTCTTCTTATAGGCATGTTGTTTAATTGATAACTTTGATAACTAAATCTGGATAATACTGGGAGACCCATTAACAAGTCAAGGGTGGTGAAGTGGGTGACTCAAGAGCCCTGGTGTTGGCTTCCTAATTCTCGCTGACTATATCTAGTCCTCGGGGCTACCCTTTGAGATTTAGTGAAGAATTTAGTTGCTGGTTCTAGTCTGAGCCCCGTGATTCTTTGCTTTAATATTTTTGTATTTTGTTTCGCAGCTATTGCTTATGTGTTGATTGGCAGTGGTCTGTATGATGAAGCAATAAAGCATTTTTCAACAATGCTTCAGGTAATTTTTTTTCTTGATTAAGAATTATAATTTCAAGTTTCTAATTGTGACAGAATGTGTACTGATGCATAGCCAATATGCGGCATGAATCCCATGTGTTTAGGATCACTTGGGAGAGTAATCAGTCAGCTGAGCGCTTTCATGGTGCCAGGCCCTGCACTAACGCTGTTCTACATCTCCAGCTATCAGGCAGCAGGAACGGCATTCAAACACAAGGTGGTAAAGAGGGTAGCTGATGGTTTCACCTCCCTTTCCTCTACCATGGCATCTCCCATGAGATGTGGCCATTGGAGTTGAACTTTTAGTTCCTTCCTGGACAGTGTCTGGAGGATTTTTTTTTTGAGACAGCATCTTGCTATATAGTTCAGACTGGTCTTAAACTCACTATGTAGCCCAGCCTGACTTTGAACTTGTGCCAAATCTTCTGCCTCAGCCTCCCAAGTACTGGGATTACAAGTGTGTGCCACCACTCCCAGCTAGTGTCTGCAGGATTGACATGAGATTTCTACTCATGAACTTGTTTGTTTCTCACCTTGATGTGTAATTGTGAAAATCCACAGTGGAAGGATGGCAGTGCAGGAGAGTCTAGTTAAGGGAAAACATGTATGTGTGCCCATGTGAGCTGCAGAGGAGGTGCACAGCAGCAGACATGGTGGCCTTGTGTACTGAATTTGCTGTGGGTACTTAACCACTTACTGAAGGTGATGTATCTGCCCTTTGCCCACAGCAAGGAAGACATGGATTTTTAGAGATACCCAAGTCAGAATCTACTGTGTGACTTGCTACCAAATTATTTAGCCTCTTTGGTTATGGGGACAGTAATCAACTATCTCCAAAAAAATCTTTGAGGATTTAAATGAAATATTTTGTAAAGTACTCATTTCCCAGAGCCTGCCATATAGTAAGCGCTCAGTAAATTTTGGCTGCCCAGAGTCCCATCCTAGTAAGCAAGTCAGTGTTGATCTAGTAAGAGCCAATAGGTATCTTACAACTCAGCAGATGGGCTTAATTTAAAAGCACTAATTTTGAGGCTTTTAGTTTTGCTTTTATTTTCTTTTTAGAAAAAAACAGGAATATGAGCCAGGCGTGGTGATACATACCTGTAATCCCAGCACTCTGGGAAGCTGAGGCAGAAAGATCAAAAGTTTAAGTGTAGCTTAGGCAACTAAGTGATTTAGTGAGACCCTGTACCAAAATAAAGGGCTGAGGAGGTAGGTCAGTACGAGGGCCCTGGATTCAAGCTCCAGTACCACCAAAAGAGAGAGAAAGGTTTATGTTGGTAATTCCATATCTGTTCTTAACAAATTGATTTTTTTTTTTTTTTCGGTACTGGGAATCGAACTCACGACCTTGTGCTTGCCAGGCAGGCGCTGTGCCGCTGAGCTAAATCCCCAGCCCACAAATGGATATTTTTGGTTATTACTCTGGGGTCCTTAGATGAAGGAGCTATGTTTGAATAATCACATGATATAATATTCTTAACTAGAATTTGAAATACAAGTGTTCCTTGTTTAATGACCTACCTATTTAATGGCTATTCAGGCCTATGAGCTGCCACATGGACTTGTGACCTGTCTTTTTTTGTACAGTTCTGTACATCTTTTTTATAGAGCCTCGATGTCTTTTTCTGGTACAGTATACCTTGTTTATACAGTACCATAATTTTTGCTGATTGTACTGTACAATATTGTAGTTTTATATTGTTATATATTATAGTACTGCATGTAAGAGTTATGCAAACAAAAGCAAAGTTATCAAGTTGGAGTTTCCTTTGACCATTTCTTTGTTCTGATATTATAATGTACATGCTATATACAGTTCCTCATTTACTGACCCATTCAGTTGATGAGCTAATCACAGAACTGTAACTTGGTTGTTAAATGAGGAGTGTCTTTACAAAGTGGACTGCAATTAGATTTTAAAATTATATTTCTGTTTAGTGTTGCCATAGTATAAAAGGTAAGTAAGACTTCACACAGTGAACCCTGGGCCTGGTTTGAAGGGAGGCTTAGATAAATTTCGGAGCAGATTTAAGTTAATTTAGGGTGATTAACAGCTTGCAGACATACTCTCATTTCATGTAATTTTTCAAAAATATTATTATACTTGGTAACAATGTTGAGAAAAATTTAAATTAATATCCAATTCTGCCACTGTCACATTTAAATTTTTATTACCTTTTCAAAATGTGCATTTGTTTTATAAACTAAGTATATATACTGTACTTTTATTACTTTTTAGTAATTTTCTACTATGAATGTTTTTGACCAGTTCTGTACCTGACAATCCCATTGGCTGTGTAATGTGTCTTTGTGTTGCCCATTTGCAGCTCTAAGCACACCTCTCCGGACACTGCATTTAGAAAGTTGATGAGAATTTCTCTCTTTGCAAAGAAAAGATAGTAACTTCTTTAAATTCCGTATTGCATTTTATTAGCCTGTGACACGATGGGCTGCTTTCACCTGGGGAGTTTTTCCCTGGGAATGTGTGGATTGTAAGGTCAGGCTGCTTTCCTGGCTGTCGGTGCCAGTGATGGGTAGGGACAGGGAAGTGGACAGTTCAAGTGCAGAAGGGAAGACGGGGAGGGTGTGTATCGCAGCAGGAGACCTGGCTTTTCCCCTCTACTTTTCTTGGTGACGCTCTCGGTGCTTTTCAGCTGTGTCCAGACTATGGTACAGTGGAAAAATCATATTTGTGTGGCCTGCAAGGTAGGCTGGACTAGACTGAGGCATCTAGGTCGAGCTTGGTGAAACTTTGTCATGTTTTCTTTTTCTTCTTTCAGTTTGGGTGTTGTTTTTTTTTAATTTTTTTATGTTTTTTGAGACAGGGTCTTGCTATGTAATCCAGGCTGGCCTTGAACTTACTATGGAGTTCAGACTGGACTCGAATTCATGACAGTCTTTCTGCCTCAGCCTCCTGTGTGCTGGGATTACAGGCATGTAACACCATACCTGGCAATGTTTTCTTTATATTATATGATTGTGATAAGAAGTAGGACACACAAAGATTCAATAATAGATGCTATTCTTTTTAAAAACTTTTTAATAAGAAACTTGACCCCCTGTTCTAGACAAAACTTTTCTTTTAGGTTTTATGTTTGAAACTGATGCACATAGCCCGTCTTTAAGGGTTCCAGCTGGTTTCTTCAAGTTCCCAGTACCCACTATTGACCGTGGGCCATAGTTTGCATAAATCTGACTCTTTAAATTGCATTTTAAAAGAAAGATCATTCTTTAAACTGGTTGCTCTTTTATTTTCCTTTTCCATTTAAAGGACCCCTAAAACCAGGGCTTCAAACATGCTAGGCAAATACTGTACCAGTGAGCACATCCTCTGAGATAGGGTCTTGCTAAGTTGCCCAGAATGGCCTTTAACTTGCAATTCTCCTGCCTCAGCCTCCAAATTAACTGAGATTATGGACGTGTAGTACCATGCCTGGTTTCCTTTTCACTTTATTGGCAAATGAAGTGTTGAAATTTCTCCCAGAATGAAATTGGTTTTTGGATACTCGTTTATATTCAGTATCTCAGAATAATGATGAATTTTCCTTCAGGCATATGTCAGTATTGCTCTGCTATTTTTCTTTTTTTAATATTAATTTTAATATTTTTTATTAGTATATGTTTGCAGTATACAATGATTACATTCATCACAGGGAACTGGTACATGTAAATAGTACATCTTAATTCTATTTACTTTCTCTCCCCTACCAGCTCTGTTATTTTTCATTCTTCGATCTACAACTGAACTAAGTACCACCAGATAATTATTTTATCATTATTAATGCTAATTTATTTTCACTTATTCCTTGTAGGACCTTCCAGAGATGTAAAAACTATGTTTAAGGCATTGCCTTTAACAAATCTGCAAAATGATACCTACCCACACGTATATTTTTCGTTTTCTTGAGTTCATTAACACTTGATAAACTTTTTGTTTAGACAGCTATGAACTGTAGCATGAAGCAGCAGAACTCTATGATTCCATTGGTAGACTGCTGACATATGGGACTGCAGGGGCCTGGGTTTTATTAGAATGTCTTTTGATCAGATTAAATGTGAAGCTCAGGTGTACATACGAAGGCTGCTTAAATTTCAGAATGGCCTTGTAAGGTGATGCTAAGCTACCTGCCTGTTGCTTTAGTTGCACTATTAAGGTACAGAACTCTGAGGTATCTCTGTGACCCTTGCTGTCACATAGTATTCATTTGACTGGCTGCTTCTACGATTTTTGTGTGCTTCTGCAGTAAAAAGAGTGTTCCTTGTGCACCCACCTGAGTGTATCACCAGGTCCCATGATATCAGTCTGCAGTAAAAACTCCAAATCAAAAAGCTGGTGAGTTGGTGTGAACCCACACCAATGCTGGAAGTCACTTCCCTGCATGACAGTGCATCAGCAGTAGTGAGGTTTATTATTAGTAGTAGTAGTAGTATATGTTTGCACTGCATAATGATTATATACCTCTTAAGGAATTGTTACATACACATATGTAGCAGCAGTGTTCTCGAAAGTGGAACCTTCTAGTATTATGGACTCCTTTGGCACCTGTGTAGAGCCGATAACAGAAGGACTTAAGCAGTTTTAGGCAGCATGTGACCTTGAGCTTGCCTGATTCTGGTGGAACTGAATTCATAAAAGAACGTTGCTTATTTCACATCGCATATATAATTGCAAACATGGCTCTGTATAACTTTTAAGATGTCTTTTAGGTAGATGTATGTCTGTCAATGAGGCAAAACTCAGTCCTTACTGAGGTGTTTATATGCTGGGTTTTTTTGGCTTGTCTTTGGGCACAGTGACTTTCCCATTGTAGTCAAAACACCAGCCTTCTGGTAAAAAAAAAAGGTATATGTGTGTAAGATTAAAGTAATTTCTGTGTAAGAATAATAGTCTGAGGGGGGCTGGGGATATAGCTCAGTGGCATAAGGTCGTGAGTTAAATCCCCAGTACAAAAAAAAAAAAAAAAAAAAGGAATAATAGCCTGAGGACAATGCATTGAA